TGCAATACTTGAGATGCCCCGTTTATTTTGAAGAAAGCACACTCATAACAATTACAATCCTGTCATACACTTTTTTAAAACATCTCAATTTTCATTTGCTTTTGGTATCTTTAAGCAGTGTAATGAGCATACCTACCCTCCGTTAATCACAAAACTTCTCTCTCCTGTGTCACGGTTTTAATGGATGTGTTCTAACGGAGATACGGATATCTATTGTACAGCCTATTATTACGCTGGCACCTGGAGGTAGGATAACTCTGGGATCAAACTCCTATTTCTTTACTACGTAATATGTATATTCTCACAGTAATTACTTTGTACTGATGGTTTTTGACACAGCTCTAAGTGTGCCAACAATACTGTCTGAAGTTGAACTGAAGTTAGTGAAGATGGAACATCTATAGGTACGTCTTGAAAGAACAGAGCGGACAGCGGAAGGTTATACATTTACCACGGAAGGTTAATGTCTGACACGTATCATCAACATGATTGATGTCGTCATGAATTATTAAATATGACCCCATGAACGACATTGTCTGAATGTGTTCACGGGTCACATGGTGTGTTCATCAGTTATGACGATCCATATAAATCTTCAGTAAACTGATGGCCCTGTATGCGTACATGTACACAGAAACACTGTGAAATAGATTAAAGAATGTAGGTAATTATTGATGGTCTCTTCAACGTATATAATGTATATACAGGCGTGTGTAAATGAAAGGTACTGCTATTTAAACTATTCTTCTTTAGCTTAGACCTACTGTCATAAGATATGGATTCATGGAGTTTTCTGAAACGTTTCAGGATTTTATTTTGTAATTTTCATCGTATAATCTGACCATTTCACTGTAGCGATGTGAACGAACAAATTGACTTCAACCAGTTGTCGCTGTTCAGGTTTTAAGCTCACACTTGGTACATTCGAAAAGCAGCACGGTTTAGAATACACACATGTACTTAACATTGTTGTAAACTTATCTGACACAGTAAAATTATGAAATTTATTGAATAACTGTATCTTCTAATCTAGATTTTGACTTTTCTTGCGATCATTTTCGATTTTTCTAAGTCGACCCCTAGGCTTCGGAAGCTTCATCTGTATGATATAGTGTCGCTGACGAGCCCTAGAAGGACCAAACAGCTGTATGATGCAGTGTCACTGACGAGTCCTAGAAGGACCAAACAGCTGTATGATGTATATCGCTGACGAGTTCTAGAAGGACGAAACATCTGTATGATGCAGTGTCGCTGACGAGTCCTAGAAGGACGAAACACCCGTATGATGTATTGTCGCTGACGAGTCCTAGAAGGACGAAACATCTGTATGATGCAGTGTCGCTGACGAGTCCTAGCAGGACGAAACACCTGTATGATGCAGTGTGGCTGACGAGTCCTAGCAGGACGAAACACCTGTATGATGCAGTGTCGCTGACGAGTCCTAGCAGGACGAAACACCTGTATGATGCAGTGTCGCTGACGAGTTCTAGAAGAACGAAACACCTATATGATGCAGTTTAATTCATTATTTGACTCTGCTTTCACTAATTGAAAGGTGCTAATCGCTTGTGAGTCTTTTGTTACAGTCTTTGTTGTATTAGTTCTATAACATTAGCTTTGAGATAATTCGGTGCGGATTTTTTTAGAAATCATTTGACCCATTGAACTCTCATCAGTACACGTATCACGATCCTGACATTTCTACAAAACTGACACTGCAATACAGCGGGTTGGTAACACCAGCTGTTCTCGCTGCGTGCTAAGTATACACGATATATTGATATAATGGCCTTTTGTTATGAACAGACTGACGACTGAGGTACAACAGAAGATCAGTAGATATGTACAACACAATAACACCACAGAGGTCCATTTACAACTGTCCGAAGGTCTCTAGATTTATCTGTCTATAGAAATGTCAGGGCTGACGAGTCGTTGCAGTCCAACCGACACCTCAAAGCTGGCAAATCTACAGCTCCTACAGGGGCTATACACAGCTGATGAACCTCCCCCCCCCTCAACCCTGCTCTTGCGGATACGGAAGAATATAATTACAATTATAACTGAAAAAAGTAATTTGATCTAACATAAGCACTAATGATGTACATTGCAGTGTATTTTTAAAAAAAATTTGATCAAAGTCATAATAAGGAAAGTCATCAGACCTACATCAATGTTATATTTAAAATCTACTTCCGATCTGTAAATACCGGATTTACAAGGCGTGACAATGCTAGACAGGTGGCCGAGATAAAGTTGATATAAACCCCTAAACTTGTTGGAATTCTCTAAGGCTTTGTCGTTTTAATATTCCACTAGTTTGGTATCAGCTATAAAGAAGTTGTGATTTCTCGTAACATCTGTTACGTCAAGATTTCATGCGATTTAATCTGTTTCAATTAGTAACTTATCTTGTATCTAAAAATACAGTAATATAAAAACTTCTTTTTTTCTATCAAAGATGGGTTTAAGAGTACTGAAATTATTCCGCCTCCTCGTATACAATAGGTCGTGTGTTTTTTCAAAATCTAGAAACTCTTCACTTTGTTTTTTTCTCATGATTTATCTCTCATAGCGTCAAAGGTTACACTGTGTGCGATAACACATGCATTGCGATATATGCACGTGAGTAAGGGTGTGGTAAGAAAGCCCTCAGTGTTGATATATTATTACCCGTCCCTGGACGTGCACGATCAGGCGGGAATCCCTGAAGGAGTAGGTATTGATACTGGTATCACAAATAACCTGAGCATTCTGTGAATCTCGACGGCAACCAACTTTACGAAGGGTGGACGTTTTCTGTCGACGGCAATTACTATACTCCATTAAAATTGTTAGATATAATAATAGACACTCGCACTCAGTCGTATATTGTTAATCATATTCATGTGAAGGCCTCTGGGGCGTACTCATTTTATGATTATCGTTCAAATTAAAAATATATATTATTTGGAGTTTACCTTTCAAAGGTAGTGTTTCTTGCTACATTTCAACCATGCCGCCATTTTTCGCGCATATTTCATTTCCAATTTATCATTTGGTGTGTACCTTTACATATATCATCGTTTCCTGTGTATCTTTAAAAACTGTCACCGTTTCTTGTGTACCTTTAAAACTGTCACCGTTTCTTAAGTACCTTTAAAACTGTCACCGTTTCTCGTTTACCTTTAAAAACTGTCACCGTTTCTTGTTTACCTTTGAAACTGTCACCGTTTCTTGTACACTTTTTTATTTTACCGTTGGTTGTTATGTATATATATATTTTTTACATAGATGCTCTCCTGAGTTCTTTTAACAACTGTGTCACAATTTCTTATGCATCATTCAGGTGTGTTATCCCGTTGATCTTTTAAAAATAGATACTTCAGACTGTATGGCTCAGTAAGCTTACATACAATGTAACGTCTTTGTGTGAAAATGAAGAGAGATCACGGAATTAGATACACATGTATTAAAAAGTCCGTGGCAGAAAGTAGTATATGTCCTCTATCACAGAAAACATCTACCTTAATTTCCATACCACATCAGGAAGAGACTACATGCATCCTTACACATCCATATCATAGTGTGGACAAAGTAACAAACATCCTTAAGTCTCATTATCTGAGTAAGGACATCTACAGGACTAGGTAGCATACATCCTTAAGTCGCATTATCTGAGTAAGGACATCGACAGGACTAGGTAACATACATCCTTAAGTCTCATTATCTGAGTAAGGACATCTACAGGACTAGGTAGCATACATCCTTAAGTCTCATTATCTGGGTAAGGACATCTACAGGACTAGGTAGCATACATCCTTAAGTCTCATTATCTGAGTAAGGACATCTACAGGAAAAGCTTCCACGTCACATAAAAATGATAACAAATAAAACATTTAAAGAGGAAATTTTACCTGTTTATTTTGTTTAGAAACGTATCCTGGTAAGTTACCAAGATATACAAAAGCATGCTGCCTGACGCACGGTGCCCACTCCTTGTCTTGACCTTTCGGATTACCTCGATCCTTCTATCTCCTCTATCTCCCGTATCTCCTCCGAACGGCTTCAGCCATCACTCACAGTAACAGAGGCGAGCAGGATACATGTCGACTTTAAATGAAGTTTGAAGATAAAACACACAAATTAACTAGGAATCACGATTCATTAAAGGAATACTTTCTGAAGCTTGTAACCCCAAACATAGGATCTCTCAGTAGCGGCTTCCAAAAGAGGATGTGTGAATTAGATAGTGTTGATAAAACGATGAGTAGAAATATATTGAATTAATTTAGCACCAACACGATCACTGTTATAGTACAATTTAAATTTATATTGAGTCTTCGGAATCACAGACTTCCGTAATTCTATAATTGATACGAAAAGATGATCTTTAATGTTTATAGTAAGCGTCTAATGTTCCCCGGAGTCCAATATTCGTAATATCCAATATGGCGTCGATCCAATATTTCGAAAGTCCACTGTTCCGGAGATCCAATATTCCGGAGATCCAACATTCCGGAGATCCAATATTTCGAGGGTCCAATATTTCGAAAGTCCACTGTTCCGCAGATCCAATATTCCAAAGGTCCAATATTCTGGAGATCCACTATTTCGAAGGTCCAATGTTCCGCAGTCCGACATTCCGAAGGTCAAATTTTCCGTTGATCCAATGTTTCGGAGTTACATATTCCGAAGAGATATTATCGTATATAACTATACCAATACTGGCAGAGGATAATGCTATCTCTTGCATTCATTTCAACGACGTATTACCCTGAATTACCGGTGTTAAATCGGATAATCGATTGGTGCATCGGACAGATTAGGGTCTAACCATGTAGAGTTCGATGTTTGGGATCACCTGCACGACCACACAGCTTTCACTTGAATTAACAAGAATTACACAATAAAAACTCGATATTATTAAATAGATATATTGAGGTAAAGGTCCTTGTTTTAAACAACTGGTTTAATGATTCTGTTATTGGTTATTTATTTCCGATAATTTACTGTTTCAGTTGTTCCTGGCTGGTGTTCTGGGGATATATCACTGTGCCAATGACTACGAGAATTACATAGGCAGCACAAAACATTTTATACTCAAGGTGAGTTACTTAAATACAAAAACATTTTATACTCAAGGTGAGTTACTTAAATACAAAACATTTTATACTGAAGGTGAGTTACTTAATACAAAAACATTTTGTACTCAAGTTGAGTAACGTAAATACAAAACATTTTATACTCAAGGTGAGTTACTTAAATACAAAACATTTCATACTCAAGGTGAGTAACCAAAATACAAAACATTTTAAACTCAAATTGAGTAACCTAAATACAAAACATTTTAAACTCAAGGTGAGTTACTTAAATACCAATCATTGTATACTCAAGGTGAGTAATCTAAATACCAATCTTTGTATACTCAAGGTGAGTAACCTAAATACAAAACATTTTATACTCAAGTTGGGTAACGTAAATACAAAACATTTTATACTCAAGTTGGGTAACGTAAATACAAAACATTTTATACTCAAGTTGGGTAACGTAAATACAAAACATTTTATACTCAAGGTGAGTAACCTAAATACCAATCATTGTATACTCAGAGTGAGTTACTTAAATACAAAACATTTTATACTGAAGGTGAGTAACCTAAATACAAAACATTTTATACTGAAGGTGAGTAACATAAATACAAAACATTTCATACTCAATGTGAGTAACATAAATACAAAACATTTTATACTCAAGGTAAATTTAGCATATTATGTACATGATTTGGGATGCTTATCACCAGAGTCGACCACCTTTCTTTACCAATGTAACAGTGAAACTGGGGATGTATAACGTCTTTAGAAATGTTTAAGACCTACAACGAAGATATCAGAGTAACAAAAATACTTGGAGACATTTTCAAATTATTTTAAAGAATACTATTATAATCGTTTATCTTGGAAGATTTATTAGATGATCTTCAGGGGAGGTAAATCCGGTAGCTTGTAATACGTCTCAAATCAGAGTATACCGACAGGTATGTAAGTAATGAAAATAGTTTCAAATGTCTTGGCTGTCTGATGCATACACTTGTTTATAGTATAACAACTTTAAATTCTAGTTAAATATTGACTGATACTGATCTGTATTTTGATGAAATATTCATGTTCAAAGCACAGGTATGAAAATCTAATCTTGTCGATCTTGGCGAGTGGTATCTGATTCCTGACGTTTCGTGTTCATTTATTTATTACGAAAATCGGAGGGGGTCCGTAACTGCTCCCGGGTTTTAATTTTCTGATCTGATACAATTTCAACTCTTCATTTAATCAATTATTTTTTTGATTTATTAATCAATTAGATCGAATTCGCAGTGAGAAGATAATTTATAGAGCAAAGTATCTAATGAAACTCGCTGAACAATTCTGTATGAAGAATTAAAACTGAAGCTGAAGATGACTACTTGACATTCTAAATGATTTCAATAAAAACACTTCAATTATGTTGGAAACTTTCTTAACAAAAATAGCTAGTATACATCTCATATGTTTTGTGACAAATATCTGAATATACATATATCTACCAAATGAAATTTCTCTGGCATCAAAATGTTATTGGACGCTAAACGAATTTTCTTTGGATTTATGGCATAAAAACTGCACAAAACTTCAACTGATTGCAATACCATGGTGCGCTTCAGTATGCCCTAGTAATCTGTTATACGTTTGATATCAACCTAACTAAATATTCCGTTACCAAAAACATTACTGGGTTGTACATCCCGGCATTCCATAGCATCCATTCCAGCCGATCGCTGTAAAATCCCTTGCCACAGAAGCAGCCAATTTGTTTTATAATGGTGGTATTCTATGGATCGGGAAGGGACTCGCTCCTTAACTCAAGGTTATCAAGGGCTTGCTAGGTTACTATGGCAGAAGTGTTCAGGGAGGTGGAAACACATTGTGATGATTTTAGCGATATAAGCGACGGTTTATTTTTTTTAGATTGCCGTCTGGATGTCTTCTGTCTAATCTGTTCCAGTTTCCCAGTAACATTGATAGTATATAGAATGCATTTCTGATGAAGTATTACTTAAATGTTTATGTCAAGTACGCTTATCACTGCATGTTAATAGTGCCAATGTTTTGGAATACATGCTTACTAAGTTTCGATAAATTTTCAGAAATTCGTTTAACAAGACCATAAATATTAAATCCGCATTCTGTAAACTCTGTCAGACTGGTTTTTTCCCTTGGAAACCATTCAATCTAAGGGGAAAACTCGATAGGTTTTGGCGGAAGCGGAAGTGATCCATGCCATGCTACTATAATGAGAGTGGAAAAATCCGATATGGTTAGAGTGGGATTCCAACCAATCTCTACCCGAGTTGTTGTTCCTTAACAGTCACAATACAAAGCTATCGGGTAAACTGGCTTGCATGTCAATACTTTTTTCTACTCTCTGCTAAATTTCGCTTCGCAAACACAGCGAGCGCACCCTAGTGGAGAAAAATTGAAACTAAGGCAGATAACCCTGTCTATGATATCAAGGTACCGTGATGCACTCTGGGAGAGATACATCCGGAACCTCAGAAATGTACACGGCTGCTCTTTTTTAGAGTCATTTACTGGTATTTGCAAACAGTGAAAATTGCATTTACCTATATATACATACAAATTATTTCAAAAGGAGTTCATGTAAGGTAAATAAATCAGTGACAGTGATGCGCCAAGTTTACTGTGCAAGGGTTCATGGGGTTAAGATTCTAAGCTGCTACCTCTAGTTTAACTGCCTGGTTATCGACATCTCATAGCCAAAAACTGAATTATGGTATCTTCGAGCAACAATAAAATTGTATAAATCAAACTTAAATAGTTCCTTCATACTGTGTAATCGTCATCTAAACACATATCATTTCAATGTTACATTCGGTTGTGTGGTGCAGCGGACCGAAACCAGAAAGGTCATTTACAACATCTACTATATTGCTGTGTCGTATTCTAGGGCTTCAGATATGTGTAGTACCGGAATAATCTAGATCTTAGGTTGGTGTTATCGTTCAGGTCACTTTCGTTGTCTCGTATTCTATATATTTGCTTTGTTTATGATAAGTCTCCATGCTATATTGACGAGAACTAAGTGTTTTTATCATGGTGTCTCTTGGCGTGTCTTGGCGGTGGTTGAAACTTCGTGAACAATACCGTGTTAATCTATATCAAACCGGTTCTCACCTATATCATTTCATCTCTTTGGCACAACGGTATCTCTTTTGCTCACACCACTATTACACCACAACTTTAAATTCATTTGATACATATTTTATTGGAAATGCCCACAAAATGGTTGTCACGCGTGTTTTTAATATGTCCGTATCAAACCTCTTTGCTACTCTTTTTATTGCAGCAATTTTAATTGCCCAGAACTTGTGTTTTATTTCTTATATCGTTGCTTTTGACGTGTTGTTGTCTTTCTTTTTATTCCCTTGTTCTTCCAGTTCCCGTTCCCGTTAAGTTGTTCTGTTTTCAGTCATCTGTTCAGTGCGGATGCCTTTCATATACAAATGTTGTCCCCTTTGTTGTCATTATTTTGTTGTCTGCTTGGTTCCTCTTGTTTTAAGTTGCGGTTCTTTTGGTAAAGGTTTTTATTTGTCCTTTATTTCCTCCAGTGATTTGCTGATTTCTTCTCTCGTTCCTTTCTTTTTACTATTGCTCTAGTCCCTACAAGTTCTACGCAGCTGTTTAGCCCTGTTGACCTTGAGTTTTGACTTTGGAATCTTTTAAAAAAATCAATTAACCGAAATACGTCTTGATATGTATACCAACTCTGGACGGTTTTCACTAAGTATTAAAGAACATTACATTTTCTCCTGAATAATTTAAGTGCTATCTAATATGATGTGATATTGCTGTTTCAGGCCGCCTGCTTCTTGCTGTCTTTGGTCTGTATATTCATTTGTCTGGTAGCCAGCACATTTCCCGTCATCCACATCGCCAGGCTGTACACCTTCAAACATTGTGAAAATCAAGCCAATGACTGCCTCTGCTACGAATCACATGACCAGTCGTCACGCCAATTTACATATAAGGAGTTGGGGAATTGTGACCTGTTATTCTGTGTGATAAAGATCCTGTTGATAGTTGAAAGCTCTGCATGTATTCTCGGTAGTATTATATCTTTTTGGTACGTTATACTTCTGTGGCGATCCAAATATGGCGGGATTTATTCAGGGATCCGTTATTCGTCGACGTCAAACGGGCACGTGCAAAGAGGCGTGGTGTAACGATACATGATAATACTTATATGGAAAAGACATTCCTTTAGATACGCTGTGCATTCTCAATTTTCATTAATATATTTTTCGAGAAAGTATACATGTTTTGAAATGTTCATATATACACCAATCACCAGTATTATCTGTACAAGGTACCCATCACTAGAAAGTACTGTGTTTGGATATAGGTCAACCGGAAACGGAAACCGTTATACCATTACAATGGAGATGTTTCATGTGGATAGAAGAAAAAAATAGAATATTGCATGATTAAAGACATTCAAGAATAGAGAAATTCCCAATAACACTTAAACTGTGTTCCTGAGTATTTGGAAAAAGGATATTCCGAATACCAGGACAAACAAACTGCATCCAGAACTTGGATAATTAGAATTCAAATATCTAGTGTATCATAATACTCAGCCATAGATCGTAGATTGAACCATCTTGACTGGTCACAACACACCCTCGAAGATGCTATCCTCTGTGGTGTTAGTTCTGTGATCGGCAGCCTGTATTTGATTGTCTAATTACCATGCGCACATGTCTTAAATTATCTACGATATTAATGCCCCACATGTTCACTTACTATAATTTCTGTCTATCGGTAACCATATTTTAATGTTCAACATTGTGCAATATGTATAATTAAAGTAACTTCTTATCAACTTTCTTTTCATTGAATGTCTGTGACTTAGATGATTATAGAGTTAGTATGGATTTGTTTTTAAATCGAAAAGATTGTTGTTAAAATCGGCATGAATGGATTTTGGGTTTTAGTCTTGTAATTGATAAGCTACCGTTTGTGAACCACATCGATAAAATATTTTGTCTAAATTCTATGAAATCAATGACCAACACAGTAATATGCCATGTTGACATATGTTCACTGTAAATCCTTCAACCTCTGTCTTCTTATCGCATCGATTGGCTAATTTCTTTTTCCGTTGTGTGCATTGTTTAACGCTAATTTAATGCCAAGAAAACTCGCCGTTTAGAATCGAAAGGTTAATATGCAATTTTACGGTGAAACTGACTCTTTGTCCGTTTGTTGCAGTAGGAGAGTGTTGTTACTAAGTCTTTAAACGTTTTTCCATGTAGACAGCGACCGTTAGGGGAATCGATATTTAACAGTAAGATTTCTCTCTGCTAAATGCACTTTTTCATAGAAATGAGTCGTGACAGGTCAGTTGATAGAATATCGAACATTGCAACCTGCGATGAAGATCTTAGGTGTGCGGTTCCATCACTACCAAAGGCATTTTCAGCTTTACAGGAAGACGAGATCATGGACCGTTTTGTCCCATTCTCGGCTCCATCAGCTGCCAAGCATCAGATATGTAACCGAGAAAGAGACATTTGACTTTCCAAACGGCTTGTTTCTTTTTCTATGTAACATAGATGAAAATAGCAACAAGACCGCAATAATATGACGTCACCAGGACTCCTAATTTCTTACTGAATGATTTACCAATTAGTCTTCATCGATATACGTGTTCTATTGGCAGTTCTCGTGTACTCACCTCCCCAGACGCATAGAAGACAAAATGACACAATTTGTGATAATTCTAGCACCAACCAGTACCCCAATGTTCTAAGCATCATGTTTTCGACTGTCAGCCATCAATCTTTCAGGTCGATCAAATAACAAAACAACGCGTGCAGATTTCGTATTAAGTTGCTCAACAGACATGCATGTCAGTAAGCCTCCTATGTTTTGCATGTGCAAACATGTAAACAAGTTCATTGTGGACGATTTGACTCTATCAAGTACAATCTGGCAGAAAAAGGGCAACTGGATACACACGAAGATAATATACCTAATTGTAATGGGTTTGGATCTATAGTCAGGACGAAAACAGCACAAACAAACTAGTTCGAACATATAGCCAGGACGAAAACAACACATACAAACTAGTTCGAACATATAGTCAGGACGAAAACAGCACATACAAACTAGTTCGAACATATAGCCAGGATGAAAACAGTAGAATTCCGGGTCTACATGTTGATCGTATACAACGTATGTATGTTTGTGGTTTAGAAATACGGATACACGTATGTATATGAAAAATGACTTGTGAAACACGACCATGTTCATGTTCTGTGTACACAAAGTAAGGTGACACGTGAGCTACTGTTGCGATGTCGGGAAGATTTACATGTGTTATGTATAAATGTGAATACGACGACGGATTCTGTTCAGAAATATAATGACTTTTCAACATGAATCACGGGGGCTAAACAGCCCACATTCTGGATTTTATTACTAGATATTTCAATTCAGAAGAAAACTTCATACGAAAATACATAGCAACCATACGATAAAATGATGTTGTATGGTCGAGTATTTGATTATATTTGGCCAAAGGCGTTTTAAGAAATATCCCTGAGTTTTTTATGATGACACAAAAAATACTTTATTTTTCAATAATAGAACAAGAGACACTCGTATACTATACTGAAGTGTTGTGCTTATATCAGAAAAAAGGATAAAATGGCTTTCGTCTCGAAAAATAATTGATAAAGGGTTTAGTCAGAGAGAGAAATTAAAAAGATTTCAGTCAGGGATCGAAATTGATAAAGAATTCAGTCAGGGATAGAAGTTGATAAAGCTTTTAATCAGTGAGAGAAATTGATAAAGGTTTTAGTGTGGGACAGAAATTTGATGAATATTTTAGTCAAGGGTTTAGTCAGTTTTAGAAATGGATAAATGTTTTGATTATGGCCAGAAATGGATATAGGTTTCAGAGTGGGTCGGAAATGGATAAGTGTTTTAGTAAGAAATGGATAAAGGTCTCAGTAATGATCGAAATTGGTAAAGTTTCAGTCTGGACAGAAATTAATAAGGGTTTCAGTCTGGGACAGAAATTGATAAAGTGATGGCTTTTGAGAAATGGATAATTTATTCAGAAATGTAAACAAAGCTTTGAGTCAGGATAATAGAAATATAAAGGCTTCATTAGTTTGGTATTGGAACAAAATAAAATATTTAAGGCCGAGAAAGGCAATAGTATTGAGTATTGTGTCATTGTAATACTTGAAAGTTCTTTGAAGTGTCGACTTTATATTAAAGTACACATAAGTAAATCAAATAAGTATTTGTGTTATATTTACACTGATCCTTTTATATCTAAATATACATCGATCGTAGTCTCGTTAAAGGGTAAGAGTTGGAACGAGCTGCAGATTATGTGTTACAGCAAGAAACATATTAATAGTACGAGAAACTGGATTCTAGCAAGCCACTTATTAATCATAAAAAAGAATGTCTGTTTAAGCCTTAAAGACATGTTGTTTATATCAATCTATAAAACTGTCGGGCAACGCGAACATATGGCGTTTTGTTTTAATATTACTTCATAAAAATACACGGCGCCATGTTACACTGAATCAAACAGACTCGGGATGCAGACCGGCAGGGGTTGGGCGAGGAAGGCTGGGAGGGGTAGATTGTGGGAGCAGTTGAGGAAAGTATTGAAAAGAGTTAAGAGCGAAGAAGAATGAGTGTGCGAGTGGTGAAGTAGAGGGGAGAGAAAAATAAATAAATGAACAAGTGATGGAGGAGAGAGAAGGGATAAGATCGAGTGATTGAATGGGAATTGAAACAGGTGCGCTAACGAGAATAAAAATATTTTGAAGGTAAAATCCTTGAAGGCAGTTGTGAGGTTAGAAGAGGAATCACGTTTAGATGATCAGTAAGGAGAGAAAGTATTGGAGAGAAAGAAGAGTCCAATAAAAAATGACAAGTACCTATACATTGGTATCAAATATTGCATTAGACATGATTATATAGTAAGTGGTATCATCAGAACCAAACTATTGATGATAAGCTTAATTTAATACTATAGACAAAATTTAATAGATAAATCAGGGTAATGACGGTAGTTTAAATAAACACAATTAATTTATACATAAATGTTAAGCTGACCAAGTTTAAAAGATAAGATGGAAACACAGAGAGGTTACTGGACAATATCAAAACTCGCTGGAAGAAAACCTCTTCCCAAAGCCGCCACTTAATAAATTAAAAGACAGCATGATATTGTATTACATCAGTCCTATCTAATTGCTATAATAACGTTTTACATTTGTCCTATATAATTGCTATGACAACGTATTACATAAGTCCTATCTAAATGCTGTGATAACGTTAATATCAGTCCTATATAATTGCTATGATAACGTATTACATTAGTCCTATAGAATTGCTATGATAACGTATTACATCAGTCCTATATAATTGCTATGATAACGTATTACATCAGTCCTATATAATTGCTATGATAACGTATTACATCAGTTCTATCTAATTGCTATGATAACGTATTACATCAGTTCTATCTAATTGCTATGATAACGTATTACATCAGTCCTATCTAATTGCTATGATAACGTATTACATCAGTCCTATCTAATTGCTATGATAACGTATTACATCAGTCCTATCTAATTGCTATGATAACGTATTACATCAGTCCTATATAATTGCTATGATAACGTATTACATCAGTTCTATCTAATTGCTATGATAACGTATTACATCAGTTCTATCTAATTGCTATGATAACGTATTACATCAGTCCTATCTAATTGCTATGATAACGTATTACATCAGTCCTATCTAATTGCTATGATAACGTATTACATCAGTCCTATCTAATTGCTATGATAACGTATTACATCAGTCCTATCTAATTGCTATGATAACGTATTACATCAGTCCTATCTAATTGATATGACACGATCATCAGTCTATAAACGATTAACCAAACTGAGAAAAAAACGCCATAGAAATGTGAAAATCCAACATTATATCAACACATACGTCACAAATTGCTGATCACTAATACAGTACAACTGTTGATACGAAACGGACAGTATCGTCTTTTTATGCAAAACATACAAGAACACTATTCAAAAATTATATTTTCCCGCAAAAGACGGTGTTCGGTCACAATATATCCACGGAAAAGAAATTTCGATTGTCTAATTGAAGAGGAGCCTTAGTTAATAATTACATTAATCTCTTTTTACTGCTAATACAGACACGGGTAAAACAAGGAAGGATCTCTTTTATATGTAAAGAGTAATGCGTGCCGTCTCCCAATGTAGTATAAATACGTCCGTGTTTACTTTCCCAGTGTATGCAATACTGTATTTACCACTGATTTTATTATCTAACTTTTTCTTATTTAGTGTCTCTGCTCAGGTTCCGAACCTCAGATTCAAGGTAGGAAAAAAAATAGATCTGGCATCCCAAGATCCGAGTTACTTCATAAAGTTCATGTTCATAATGTAAAAATATATGACATACATTTATTTTTGACGTAAACGCGTGTACCTTAATTTCTACATGGATTGCCTCCCTTGTAACCTTTGATCGGTTGTCATTTAACAAATACAACGCATTTATTTCTATATGAAAGTAAAGTGGAAATATAGGGGTTAGTGACCTCATATCCTCCACCTATTTAAACCTCTTAAGTTTCATAAAATTATGTTTAGTAACAAGCATTTGTCTGATAATAAGCCCATGTCCAGTAATAAGCCAATAAATGACAATAAGCACATGTTTGATATTAAGTCCTTGTCTTGTAATAAGTCCATGTCTAGTAACAAGTCTGGTAATAAGTCCAAGTCTGTTTTAAGACAATGTCCGGTATTAAGCCCAGGTCTGGAAATAAGTCCATTATCTGGTATTAAGCCCATGTCTGGTATGAAGCCCACGTCTGGTAATAAGTCCAATTTCTGTTAATAAGCCCCTGTGTTGTATGTAATAAACTTATCCATACCAAATTCTTATTCAGAATATGTAGTAAGCCCAGATATACACAAAGAAATGTAGCTGTGCTTTTTTATTTCATTTTAACACACATACTATATTATGTCATAGAATTGCATTGAATGCTGAAATCACATTATACACATTTTGATATACTCATGAAAGCAAAACACGGATTTTCACTAAAGGCTACAGGTATACATACACATAGGTAAGTACATGCATATCAAAGTTGTCAACTAAATTTCCATCAAAATAATCACAATTTGCCCTCCTCGTGACATCAATAGTACTTCATACAATAAATCGCCAGCTGGACTACATTGAGTTTTTTTATAATAAGGAAGTTTTACCTGTAAGTTATAAATTAATTGTTGAAAAATTAAGTGTCTAACAATAATGAGGAGATTGCACACAGGGGCATGGCACATGATCTTCACCTCCATCTCTATATAATGAAGATAAAATGAATAGTAGAGTATGGAATTGGTGTCTGGTCCCTGTGGTGTGGGAAGTATGATGTACATGTATACACTATAAATATTGATTTCCAGTGTCGTCAACTCAAATTATTGAGCTGGATATTTCTTTGTTTGTTTGCTGGGTTTACTGCCTTGGGTCATTCTGAGGCAAGGCCTCCTTGTAGTAGCTGGTTACTCCCTCACTGAACAACAAACAGGAGGCCTGTTGCTGTATAAAGAACTTTGGATAAAATGTCTTACCCAAGGACACAACAATGTCTACACAGACCACAGCATTGCTCAGTTTGCTGAGAAACACAAACCACCACTGAGAGGGAGTGTTGAACCATGCACCTCTAATCTACATCCGAGGAAGCACAGACAAACCTTAACTGAGTTAATGTAACTTCTAAAAGTGAAATGAAAAAGATCTGCATTCCACTTATGATATGTAATGGCCTAAACAGATAGATACATGTATATCATAGAAAAGTAGATGTATAAATATTATGTATTTATGTACATTCATAACCATAGATGTGCACATGCATACTATATCATGACTGTATACATGTACAAGGAATTATAAGTTAACATGAGACAGATCAGTTCCTCCTCTTTTGGTCATTTTTAATTGTTTATACACAAATAAGCTATCTTTACATACTGCCATGTAGTATTAATTTCTCAAGTCCATCTACCTTACTCACTGTAATCTATGTCTAACTGGTGAACTCCTAACAGAAATTAGAAGACTTCCCTCGATTCTCTATGAAGATCCTTCTCTGAGTAGAGAGATTAACATTTTGGTACAGAGATTTTCATCCCATTTCATGTTGAAGATTGTCCATGAATACGGACTTGTTTAAGATATTAATTCTAGGTGTACTTATCTTTAGACCTAAGAATATTACGTTCATAGATTCCTAACAAGCTAAGAACTATAAACAACAAACTAAAATCTATAGGGCTTGTTTGCTCATTCAGAGAAACACTCAGCAGAATAAGTCACCTTGACACAAACCTTACGTCAGTTAATAGTTTATCCAAATAATTGTTAATTAACCAGCTTACCTTTATCATTCAGGCATTTGTTACTGACTCAGTCTAAGAAATTGTTTTAGATTCTGTTTTCTGTTAATGCCCAATCTACTAATGTGACTCAAACTACTGATAGTGACTCAAAACTACAGATAGCGACTCAAACTACTGATAGCGACTCAAACTACTGATAGTGATTCAAAACTACTGTTGGTGACTCAAGATAATGTGAGTTACTCAATCTTCTGCGAGTGGCTCAATCTCCTGTGAGTGACTCAAAGTTTTGTTTGAGAATTGATCTACTTGACTTAGGTTATTGACTCTACATACAGCGTGATTTGATAAATTGGTAGTGTCTCCTTTTGGCAACTCTATTGGTAAAGACAGTCAACTATAAGTGACTCAGTGTTCTGTTAGTGACTCTGTTGTTAGTGACTCTGTTTATTGTAAGTTATTTGGAAGTGACAGGGTTATAACCTTTGTACAGTTTAACATTGAGATGACATAAATGAGAAACAATGCATTAATATTGATACAGATTTGACACTCTGGAAAATTGAAGCAGAAATACTGATATCAACTTTTAACTCTTAAACAAGGAATGTAATATAATATACCCAACATAATCAATGTTATCGTAAACTATATCTTATACATAATGACAATAAATATCAAATTAGGAATATCTGACGATAAATTGAATGGTTTTTTCCTCTTTAGTAGAAAAAATCAACAGCTCTCTCCTTACAGAAAACAATAGAATAATTGCTTCTGTTGGTTAATCACAAATGAAGACACATATGCAACATAAATATAAAAACATACACATCATACATACATAAATACTCACACATAACTTAATCACACATATTCCTTGGTATAAATTGCAGATGTACTAAACAGGACAAACAAGTTACTGTAATAATTGCAGAAAACAAAACATTGATCATATTGATATATTCTACAACCTGTCAATGACACAACAAAGTATACAATAATTCTGGTCGTAATAATTTCATATGTAAAGACAATATTCAAAGCAGTTTTTCAACCAAAATATTCCAAATAAATCAATTGTCATCAAACCAGACCCATGCGTACATCCATTCACATAAGTGTATTCACTCAATCCACTGCTGATAGAGACAAATTCATGCAGTGTTCTTACTGGGAATTCTACATGGATGTATGGCTAACAAGATCATTCTACAAGGAGTGCATTATACATTTTGTATTTAATAAATAAAACAAACATCAGTTAGAATGACAAAAAAAAATCAACATTCATTAAAAAGTTCCCTATAATTATTTAGTGAACAAAAACCAACTTTTAGTCAGATTAAAATATTTGTTATTAAGCATGTTTACATGAACAATATCATAAACTCATGAAATCAGATTTCAGGTAATATTGTTTTTGATTTATCTTGACATATTGGAGAAAGAATTAATCTGATATTCTGAATATCATCATAATAATTCGTCAGATTTGAAAAAATATGTTCAACTAGTTTAAGAATTAAACTTCTCCAAAATTTATGTGTCCAGTAGTCTTAGCATGTAGTTGAGCATCAGCCTGACCTGTAAGCTGCTTCTGACATATCAAACATTTCAGTGTGAATGATGAAACATCTGTGAATTGACGCGACGCTTTGGCTTCATCTGCTATTTCCATGGCCTGAGCTAGGATTGAAGCATCCTTTGTGGAGAAGATGGTTGTTACAGTTTCTCCTGGAATTAACGGTTCGAGAACAAGCGGATCATAATGAATCCCATCATAGATAACAAGAATTCTTTCTGGATAATTCTGATCTTCACCGAATCGATCGATTCTACCACTCTGAGTATCTACAACATCTATTTCTACACCATAGTATTTAGACAGGATAGCAATCTCTATACCTCCACCCCAGGACTCCTTATCCATGATCCATTTGCAATAGTTTGAATTAGACCTGCCGAGAAATGCTTCATTAAATGTTTCAGGATCACTAAGAACTACACCTGCTATCAACTCTCTCATCATTGGTGAACAGGATAAATCCAGCTCTCCATCATTCATTAATGAGTAAATACTGGTAAACAGACAGGAATTGTTAGCTGGCACAACCTTCCTCATCAACATGCCTTGCCTTTGTAGGCTTTGTGACTGGAGAACATTGTCAATTCGTTTCTGCTTATTTTCAAATTCAAGACTTTGATCCTCTTCTACAATGATAGTATCACCTGACCTGAAGGGTAGACAGGTCAATAATTTGTTTTCATCACTTAATTCAACAACTTTAGGAGGATATCCTGTCCTTATCTTGATCCAGTCTCTTTTGATTTTGGTAAGTTCTGATATCTTGGTTATCATTTCACCTACGCTGGATGACAAGGTGAGACCTGTTAGTGCATGCTGGCCAGTCTTGGATGTACATCGAAGATGGAGTGCCTTTGTCGTCATGTTTCTGTAATACAGCAACAACAGAAGATTGGAATAAATGTAATGTATCTAGGTTAGAAATTAAACATTAAAATTAATTAGAAAGTTTCCTTTACATTCAAAATGTAAATGCTCAAATAGGGATATAAGTGACAAAATTAAAATTTAATGATGCTAGAAAATATCTATAAAACAGGAATGCCTCTGCTCTTATGCAAACCTGGATCTAATCAGGAACAGAACATGATATCTTTTCTGATGCTGTGGGGTAAATATGATGGCTGAGAGAAATGAGATGACCTTGCAATGGGATGAACATGGATTTCAAAAGTATATGCCCCTCTATGCCAATCCCTCCCTCTTCAAAAAAATGGCAAGAGCATAAAAAGTAATTCCAACATTTTGTTTTTAATGGGCAGTATATTTACACATATAGCTCCTAATGCAACCTAAAGATGGATGCCTGTATAAGGTTGTTTTGTCCTAACAATCTGTTTGAAATCTGTGATCATATCAACTTATTGTCTGTACGATTTATGTCATGATTATATTATTAATGTTGTGGCTTGTTATAACATGTGTCAAGATCTTACAACAGATTCAAGTGAACTGGTCTATGATTATCTGTCTATAAATAAAACTGGTCCGATTTGTTCTGATGTTAACCACTGGTAAATTTAAACTAACTTTTGAGAAAACTTCATAAAGATGTATATATATATATATGGAATGGACGTTGGTGGTGGTGGGAGGGGGTTGTCTGGACTACATTTACATTAGACATCGATACAATGCATGCAATACTAACTGTTACATCGTATATATAACTGTCTGTAACGTAATCTGAATTATATGTTACAAATACGTCCGTTAAAAGTAGTCTATGAATTGATACTTTCACAGATCTGTATAGAATAATTTATTCGAACACTATGAAAAAGAAAAAAAATGCATCGTTCATTTTAAATGACCACAAACTCACGTTGATAAACGGCTTCAATCCTAATTCTTAAACCGGAAATGCCTACTACGTCACAGATCTATGTGCACATCCTAATGTCATCATGTCGAAAAAGCCGAGTGTTTCACATCCAAATAAAGGTAAGACTCTCTGTTTATATGTGATTTTAAAAAATGAATGTTGTTCAGGTATACCGATTTATGATGAATGATCCAATAAGATATCTGTAGTATCTAAAGGTCTTTCGTTTTATGTTAACGAAACACGTGGTTTTATGTCTCATGGTCAGTGGCGTACTCTGATGAATTCTATTTTCGTTTTGACCCTGTTACGCAAGTGTTACCAGTATCAGCAAAATGTTTACTGGATATATTATGATATGTGTAAATGTTGACCGTTCTCATGGTTGTATTTTAAAGTTTTTATTTCGATGGACACGTCATTAACATGCAATCAACAGGTACTGGATCACCGACAGATATGACTATATAGGCAGATTTGGTTCTATAGGGAAAACTGACTATACGTACATATTATAGGACAAATGTTAACATACGGGTGTTGTCACATTTCTGCCATGCAAATCGAAAACTGCTTGATGAATCATGTAAGTCAGTGAATGTTGATATTTTCTTGATGGCATATTTGTTCAATTTCAGGCATTTTTTAAAATTCCATTGTTACATATTTTCAATATATTCATGTACTCTTGGGATTTAGTAAAAAAAAATCTACAGTGAATCCATTTAATATGGTATCATTCACTCCTTGTGTTGTCTACAGATAAGCATCCCTTTGATGCAGATTCAGGTCCACAGCATGATGTTTCTGTGTATTGTGTGCTGGAAGCAATGTAGACAAATCTGCCTATATAGCCAGATTTGGTGGTACTAGAGTACCTGATCATTATACTGTAATCCTTTAATGAAATTATCTGCCTCAGCCAGTTGTAAATAACTCCATTGATCCCTTGATATCAATGAAATCCCTGATGTTAGATAAGCAACACACAAATTTAGAGAAGTTGTATTATATTGCTTTGCTATAACACTGCTGGTTTTATTTTGTGTTTTTATGACTTATACACAGTCAATTCTATTTGTATGCCAAAGGAAAATCTAAACATGACAAAAGAAGTAATTATGAAGTGTTCCAGTTTTATGATATATTCTGTATCATCATGCACGTATATGTACCCTAATCCAGACAGCTCCTCCTGGTATTTGCAATTTTATCTTTTCATTAGCTCATTTCATTTTCTTTTCAACTTTACCCAGTATAGCAAGTGCAAGATGTGTGGTTTGATCACAATAAAAATTGAATGAAGCGTTGCTTTCCAAAAACCAGAGATCAGATAGACCATATCCTATGCTTTTATGGTCAAGTACTTGTTCAAGAGGTTATATCTTGTTTGTTATAGGCTAGCATATGGAAGACCTCCAGCAAGGTGTTTGTTGAGGTGACCACCAGTTACTCCAATGAGACCCTGTCTAAAAATAACCCAGTTTATGTCCACTGTAGATTTTGTTGTCAGTTCATATGTAGAGCTATTAATCTAATATATTAAATGAATTATCACTATGAAATGACTCTTTACTGGATATGTAATGATCTGAAACCTGAGTTGACCAAACAAGAAATTACTTATTAAAACATGATATACATAACTGGAACAGATCAGTGTGGCTGTCTCCGAGTTGACGCAGTTGACAAAGCATGCTTTTCTCATTCTGTTGGTAGGTCCATAGTATTTACTGAAGATCTGAGTTTGATTACTGTGTTGATACTTGGGAAGAATATGTTTATCATCAGAGATAGGGGAAGTGAGGTGCCCTTGAAGTAACAGACAAACCTTGTTTTACTGTGTAGATAGGAAAAGAATTGTTGATCTGGGTTAACAATATTGATACCTATTATGATGATAAGAGATTTTGTTGAGGTGTATCACATGAACTTTTAACCTGCGTGACCTTGTATCTGGATGTTTTGATACTACAACAAGTATCACCCACGAAAAATGAAAAATTGTGATTATAATTATTTACCATAAAATGTTATGAGTTAGTTTCATTGAAATGCACTTTCTTAATACACATTTTTACATGTCAAGCATCCTTCCAGATATTGTAAAATAAAGCATTCATAGCTGTAGAATTTCAATTGAATAAGAATTGCCAATGAATAAAAGGAAAAACTAATTACACATACCTCCTTGCAATGACTTTCTGTCTAGAGAGTATAGTTCAAACATGCAGATCTTCTGCAGTGTATTGGAATATAACAGTTTTAAAATTAGTATTTTATATGACTGACTTCTACTTTGAGTTATATTAACTACAGTAAGAATGTAGGGATCAGTAGATGAACAAAGAAGGCTATGAATGTGTTTGAACAGTTTGTGCTACATGTACTATAAAAAAATAAAAACTAAGAAATGTCTTATTGAAGACAAAATAAGACCAAGCAATAAAAAGGAAAACTGTGAAATAGGTGTACAAACAGACACAAATGACCACCATTTTCTCAGCATGTTTTTATTTTGAAAATTGTCTTTCCCATTCTAATGACAGTACAGGTATGATCTGTGCACTTCTGGGTCATAACTAATCAACTGTCTCTGTGATTTAGTGACGATTACGAGAAAACAAGCATGGTTGGATTTCAGGTGAGCAAGATAGAAATTGTATCTTTGGAATTTTGGTATTTTAGGAAAAATTCTAATGTTTCACAGAACTCTACTGAAAAAATATTATAGTATGGACACATTTCAATACAATACATTGGTTGTAATTCATCAACATAGCAAAGCTATCAACATAAAAATCTAAAGGGGCCCAAAACTATGGCTCCAAGGAATGCATGAAATAAACAGATTTCAGGAAGTCGGGCCATTGTTTGATGATAAGTGTAGCTCTGAAATTTGCATAAAAGTTTACTATGTTAATATTCCCCCCCCCCCCTCTCAATGCAAATGCAAACACAAGCTACTATGAATTTCAGACAGGAAAAACACTGACATTTTAAACCTTTAAATCAACAAACATATTCATTATATGACATAAATGCAAATATAGAAACACAAGGGACGATGGAATACTTTTGACATGTGCTCTGTCCATGCCACAAACCCACAGCTGCAGAATGAAATAGTTACGAAATTGTACCTGTAGCTGCTTAATAACTAGGCCACAACATTCAAATGTATTAAGCCAAAAAGTTGTGTGTTGGTACTGCATGAAACCTTCAGATATCTTATAATGTGATGTACAGTATCCAGAAAATCTACAATTGAATCATCAAAATTTTATGGAGGTAATTTTTGGAAGGGTGACATTTTGTTGTAGCCCAAAAACAGGTAACTTTAAGCTGTAAGTTCAATTTAATTGCCATATCATTCTGAAAGTAATATATGGCACCACTTGGGAGTTTGTTGGTGATGCAATAACAACAAAATATTTCAAGGAACAGATGATGAAATGTTTTTAGCTCACCAGGCCAGCTTCGATGACGGTTGACAAAAGTTTGCAAAAAGAAATGACCTTGACTTATATTTAAGGTCACAGTGGTCGAATGTAAAAAAACCTTTAAAACAACTTCTTATCGCGAACTAAAAGGCCTAGAGGCATGGTATGTTCCAGGGATGAGCCTGATCAAGTTTGCGAAAATATATGACCTTGACATTTATTCAAGGTCATGGGTCAAATTTGTTAAAACATTGTAACAACTGCTTCTCATGAACTAAAATACCTTTAAGCATAGTATTTGGCTGTTATATTCCTTGGATGAATGTTGACAAAATTTTGCAAAAGGAAATGACCTTGACCTATTTTCAAGGTCACCGGGGTCAGATTTGTTAAAACCTTTAAACAACATCTTCTCATGAACTAAAAGTCCAAGAGGTCATGTCTTTCATGTCTCCTTGCATTAAAATAATGTTTATGTTAAATTTAGGAGTGAAAGCAAACATGCATTTACAAAGGTAATAAGAAATGACATGATTGACCATATATTTTTGTGCAAGCCTATTTGCCATGCTTAAGTATTGATAACAGAATGGTTG